TCTCTCTTCTCTCTCTCTCTGTCCCTGTCATTCATCTCTCCTCTCTCTTTGTCTCTTTTTCTGTCTCTCACTCTCACTCTCTATCTCTTTCTCTCTTTGTCTCTCTATCTCTCTCTCACTCTCTACTACTACTATTACCTCTCTTTTACCACCGCCACTCTATCTCCTTTACCACTACCACAACTTTACCACTAATCTCTTTCGCCATCACTACCACCACCACCAGCACCACCACCAGCACCTCATATCCACCACCTTCACCACTACTGTCGCTCCCTCTCCTCTACCAAAAAAAATTAGTTCTTGATTTTTAGTATAAAAAAAAAATGGACCACAAAAAAATATTTTTAATTGACCATAAAAAATTAATTTTATTTTAACGAAAATTATTTTTCATCGAAATATTAGCCTACTTCTACCAAATAAAAAAAAAATTCATTAAAAAAAAATGAAACAAATTTTCCTCCTTTTTTTCACTGACCCGCCCGCCCAAACTTATTTGCCCCATTTTTTCGGTCTTTCCCCCCATTTTTTCATTTCCTTTCAGGTTTGCAGAGCCCTGTTTCGAAACAACACGTCTCTCTCTCTCTCTCTCTCTCTCTCCCTCTCACGGAGGCGAGCGACGAGTGGCGAATTTTGGTTTGAGTTATGAGCTCCGAAGCTGCTTCTTCAAAGCTTCTTTACCAATTGCTGGGACCAGAAAATGTGCAGCGTTGGTGTCTGGGTTGTCCTCTGTTACTTCACCAACGATTTCATCATTCAACGAGGTTCCAATCAGCTCAATCTCTGTTTTTCTTTGTTAAAAAATGGTTTTGATTTTTGGGTTTTTGTTTTTTTGTGCAATTCTGATTTCTATCTATGTGGGTTTCCTCTGTAGTTGATTGAGTCTTTGATTAATCGAGTTGACTTGTCGGAATCAGAGGCCGAGGCGTCTCTGGATTTTCTTTTGCATGAAGCTAATGAGGCGTTGATCAGTGCCTTTCTTGTTCTGTTGAGAGCAAAATGAGAAACTTATGAAGAAGTATGCTCTCTCTCTCTCTCTCTCTCTCTCTCTCTCTCTCTCGTTCTTGGACCTCACCTACGCAAGGATTGTATCATCTTGTTAGCAGGGATCCCTTCCTTGAAAAATTGAATAGCAGAAGTCTGTTAAGTTGAATGTAATTTAAACCTCCCTCTTTTTTTCCTTTTTTCTAGATGCTATGTATCCAATGTTTTAAATTCCTTTAAAATGCTTCTCCAACTTTGTGTTCCCACTAACATTTCAGAAAGGTACTTTTTCTTGAGAGCCACAGACAATGTGATGTAGATTCCCTACTTTCTTGACTGGTTTTGGAGGCTTGTGCTTTTTAATGATGCAAAGTTATCTTAGCTTAATTCAACTAAATATTACGTCCTACAGCAAAAGAAAGATGTGTAGTTTGTTGGATACATTTCTTTCTAATCTCCATTCTATATGAATCAATGCCTCTTGGAGTATATATTCTGTTGAACCACAATTGATGAAATTCCTTACAATTACTCCAGAGAGACAGTCTTTTCTGCGATCAAAGGAACAAAAAATCCAGTGTGTTTCGTATGGGCTATACATGTAAACTCAAGCTCTTTGTTATGATGTTGATTGAGGAGTACAAGGGTTGTTCATGATTTCATTTTTGCCGGAAGACCAATTCATTGCTTTAATAGAATTTCTAAATGGTGACAGTTATCCTGTAATTTTATTTTTAGGACATTTCGGAGAAATACACGAAATACATAATCACACAACTCACTGGCACTACTAAGCCAAATGGGGAAATGATTTAGCGGGCCTTCGCTTTGGACATCTTGGACAAAATTGGAAGAATGAGGTGATTGGCTCTGCAAGTCAGTAAGGTCTCACTTTCTTAGTGGCTATTAAGTCTAAAACGTTGATGGTATTCTACCAAGAAAAATATTTTGTTCGACATCTAGAAACAAATATTTACTATGGTTATGTTAGTTCTTCTTCTTCTTTTTCTTCTTCTTCTTCTTCTTCTGGTTAATTTTAGAATACTGTATATATGTATAGTTCTGAATTTCTGATGTAGTAACCAAAAGTCTGCAGTTACTTTTTTAAATAAAATTTCTGTTTAAAAAAAAATGTTGCCAGCTCATCTTCGTATAGTTATTTGTTCTCTATGCATTCATTTGTCCCCCCTTCTTCTTTTTCCTAAAGAGCTTAAGTTTTATTTTGTCATATTTTTTTGTGAAGAAAATATTTGTTATTGACAGTCTTTGCTTTGTTGCCCATAAATCTGCCAATCTTCAACTTGTGTGCAAATGTAAACAAGTGAGCAGGCTTATGCTATAGCAGTGCATTGCAATGCAAATGTTAGAACCATTGGAATGATAGATAACATGTGTCACTTTAGAGCATACTTGGATGGATTTTTCTTTATTTGGTTGCACTAGTGTTGTAAATTGTAATGCTTATTGGGCACACTTGTGCAAGCGATACTAGGTTATTCAAATATTAGAAATTTGAGATAATGGAGGTTTTAGTTTGTTGACAACTAAGGTTGTTTTTGGTATAGCTTATAAGTTGATTTTTTTGCTTATTACAAAAAGGCATGATAAAAAGTAGAGATGTTGTGACCTAAATAATCTAATAAGCTAATAAGCTGGCTTTTTTTAGTTCATGAGTTTTCATTTTTAATATGTGGGCTACACTTCAGTCATTTGCAAGATTAGTTCTTTCTTTGTAGCTTATGCACTTTAGTCAGTCGATTTTGTGACTTTGTCTGCGCAGTTCAGTGGCATACATGTATAGTACCCCTTCAACATAATGCTAGCATATCTGTTGCGTTGTTGAAAAAATGCATAAATATTGGTTTAGAGCTACTGTAATTTCATAATCCATTAATTTTCTTTTGATGTTTCTTGGTTTTCTTGAACCTTTTTCTGTAATAGCTGATATCAAAGTAATTACACAATGTTAAGAACTCCATGAAATTCTTCTATGCTTACAAATTTCCAATCATGAGTTGGTCCAAGCATCTAGCAATGGTTCACTATGTAGCAATTTTTCTACTTCTTGACTAGTTTTTTATTTGATAATGTTTTAGCAATACCCTTTTTGATTGAAGCAAGAATGTTAGAAATTAGGGATTTTTTTTAAGGAAATAAAATTAGATGGAAATTTTCGAAATGTTTTCCTTGAGCCTTGTCTCAGTGTCAATGCATTGAAGGATATGTTGAGGAGGGTTCTGAGTTTAATTCTTTTGTCAGTCATGTTGATGGTCCTAGATGGAAATTTTGTGAGGAACCTAGTGTATCATCAAGAGGAAATATGTTGAAATCGATACCAGCATCTGGTTTGCTGCGGAAGTTATGGTGAAGTACTCTTGGACTGCAATTTGACTGGTCCAAGGTGATTGCTAATTTCATATTGTTCTTTTTTAGTTTTTATCTCAAATTGAGTACTATGGCCTTTGTTTCTTTCAATACTAGCAACCCATTTGGACCATGATTGGTATTGCTTCAAGCTAGGAGGTCACCACTGTGAATTTCTATATCGTTTGATGTCTATTGAACTTTCATAAGATATTTGCACCAACTATCTGTTTTGACCTGTGTCTCATGTAAGTTTTTTCATCAATTGGCTTGAATTACAATTCTAGTACATATGTCATATTGTACATCTTTGTTTAATTAGCATGAACACCGGTCATCAATTTATTTTGAACATTGTTTCATTGCAGTTCTGTGAGATACACTCGTCAGTAATATCCGAAGAATTTCGCCCAGAAGCTGTAATAGTGAATTACTTCAAGTTAGGTACTTTTCAGTCATAGCTATCTTTTGAATGTTGTGTTTGGTTTTAAAGAAGATTATGAGAATTTGTGTATTTGTGTAGTTAATTTTTTTTCCTGAGAATTTAGTTATTGAGATGTTAGAAGGAAAGAGCTCATAAACTCAACAAGCATTGTTTTATAATAGGGATCTAAAGAGAATATTCCGGGTTCCTTAAAACAAGTAGTTCAGGTATCATAGCATGGAAGATGGAACCTTTTTATTATGTTCAATTCTAAACCCAATAATAAATTCTAAGTTCATAACCTCCAGAGGTATGGGAGGAAGCTGAGCCATTGTGGGAGCGAGTGGATGATCCCTGAAATTGGACCCCGGCCGAACATCTACAGGTACACCATGCCTGATTTACTTAATCTGTTACAATCACTTCGTTTACATTCACTTCGTTTGGATATATAGTTCAACCTGACAAGCTTCTAGTTTTATGACAGATTTCTTCCATCTTAATCTTTTGAGCTAAAAATGTAAAGTTCTTAAGTTGAAAAACTTTAATCCTGCTCTATTTGGACAAGCTTTTCTACTTATTCTTTATAACATTGGAGCCTCATGTTCAACATGGACTTATAACACTGACGTGATTTTTCTTGTTTGATCTTTCTCAAGAAATGTAGATTTGGCCCAGATGAAATTTGACATTTGTTACTAGTGTATATTCCACATAACATAGCTACAAATGCTTAAGTAAACCTAGGATCATTTTAGACAATGGAATTGTCATTCGTTGCGAAACCTTGTAATTCACTGAAAACAAAAGACAGGAATGAGTTGCATACGCTAAAGCGGTGTTCTTTGTGTTCCGCCTACTCTACTTTTTGTTTTTGGCAGAATATTTGATGTGATACATTTCAACTGCAGTCTGCAAATCAGTTTGAAAGAAGTAGACAATGCAATTTGTTAGAAATGTAATATGCACTAAGAATTCTTTTTCCTCATCTTGCTAAACTCCAGCATTAATTTACTTATAACGAAACAAAATTTGGTAGGGAAGCAATAGCTTGCATCTATCTAACATGTTAGACATGACATATACACTTTGGAAGATATTCTGCATCTCAATGTTTAACCTCCCATGTTAATGAATCATCCAATTTTGTTCTAAACACAAGAAGGAATCAATTTTTTGAATTTCATAGGAAGAAACAAGGATCCATTATATTTCTTTGATTGAAATGCAACAGGAGCAGGAGCATGAACATCCGCTGAGAGCAAGAGGAGTTTCTCCAATGGCTGGTATACAATAAGTCAAATATGCTTTCTGTTTTTGTAAGAGGGTCAAAAAGGTTTAAACTTATGTTTGTCTCTTTGAATTGTGCATGTGCAGCTTTCTTTTATTGTGAGGTGGATGGAAGCTCCCTTTGTTTGCAGTGCGATATGATTGTTCATGTAGGAGGTAAAAGAACCCATGAAAGATATCTTGTATTGAGGCAGAGAATTGAGGTTTGTTTCTGTGGGAAAAAACTGGATCATATTTATTCTTCTGAATGTTATGCTAAGACTCTTACAATTTTTTCTTTCCTCGATTTTATCTTTAGTTTCCCGGGGATAAGCCTGGCCGTATGGAGGATCCAACTGAGAACAGGAGGGGAGAGAACCAGCAACTCGGATTGACGATGGGAGAGATCCAGCAGAATCACAGGGTTCCAGAGTCAGCTATGAATGCCAATGCCGATGGGCATGCCAACATGAAGACAAATATGATGGATTTGAATATGCAGCCACATCAGATACATGAACAGGCTTCAAATAATCAGGTTAGATTGTCTCCGTTGTTTATCTATCAGAAACAGATTTTGAATTTTGTTTTAATTTGAACTCTATTAACAGATTAGTGTCCCAGTGGAATGGTTACACTTTGCATTAGCATTTGAATGCACTTATTGTTCATATCAATTGGACCGCACTACTCCATTCAAATGTATAAATCATGGACAAGTTTAAAATGATATATCTGACAACTGAAGATATCAGAATAAGTTTTCTAAATGGATCAATTTGGTGTGTAAAACTAAACTAAGCCTGGTGTTCCAATCAAGTAGAGTCAGCTACATGAATCTTTTGTCACCATCCTGCTCTGTCAAAGGCTATATCTTCAATTAAATTAATTAAATTTTTATCCTTTTTTTACTACCACATCCCATGTCATAATAGGTCATTCCCTTCCCTTAACATTTCCATTTATGGTAATCATATTGCTCCTCTTTATCTTTGCATCTATAGGTATTTGTTGCATCCATGGTGTGTGTATATATAAATAGTGGTGGTTAGACTGAGAATCTCAAGTGTATTTGAAATGGATTAAAAATATTTTAAAAGGAAAATTTAAAAAAATAAAAATTTGAAGTAAATACAAGATATCAAGGACACTTGAAGCATATAATTTCTTGTTGTAAATGGGCTTAGCAAAAGGAGAGAGAAACAAAAGCAGCTAAAGATTTGAGACAGAGAGTAATAGAACATGTAATCTTTCACTCATGTTCAATTATATATTTCAATTATATGCTGCAATGGCTCATCTATAAGACATTATTGTTTCTTGCAGAACATCCTTGTTGTCTCAAAGTATTACTGAAGGATTACCTTGGCGAGACTTGCTGAGTTGCTTTGTCTCATTGTTTAGGTATGCCAATACTTAATTGTGGTATAGTCATCATCAAATGTTTGTAATGTAATCATATAAAGTTTTTGCCATATGGTTAATTTTTTTTTTATGAGAATACTTCATTTTGGATGTTTTTCTAGATTCTAACTTTTCTTATTTTATTTTTAGGTGACTTCCAAAAACGATCAAGCACAAGGCTGGTGCTTCAAAACCATATATATTCCTTCCTGTTTTAGAATTTTTTTTGGATTCCTTCATTGATTTTGCTTTTAATTTTTGTTCAATTACTTACTGGTTTTCAATGGATGGATGTTTAAAACTTGTCTCAATTAATGTTTTGAATGGAATGATTGTAAAGTTTGGGATTGAGCAGGAAAATATGATGAATTTTAATGTTATGTTTAGGTTGGGTTGAATGAATTTTGTTCAATATTGGATTGAATGTTTATAAACAAAAATTGATTGTTCAAAAAAAAAAAATTGGATTGAATGTTGGATTGTGTCGAATGTTCATGAATTATGTATTGTGTCGAATGTTAATGATTCAGTTGATTTGTATGATGCTTTAAAATTATAGGTTTATTATGGATTGAATGAATTATTAGGAATTCCAGGTGTATTGTTTTCCTGCTTTTGGCGACCAATTTATTAGTGGCGACAAATAAATAATTTTTTTTCGCAAAAAATGACAATTGCCGACTAAGAGTTTTGGTCGCAAAAAATACATCTATTGCCGACCAAAACAACACTTGGTCGCGGAATCTCACTTTTGCCGACCAAAAGTTTTGGTCGCGAAAAGTAACAAATAGCGACCAAAGTTTTTGGTCGTAGAAACTATTATTTAGCGACGAAGAAGTTTTGGTCGTGGAATGTAATTTTTGCCGACCAATTTTGTTGGTCGTTGAAAGTAATTTTTGCCGACCAATTTTGTTGGTCGTTGAAAGTGATTTTTGCCGACCAAATTAGCGACTAACATGTATGGTCGTTGAATGTAATTTTTGCCGACCAAAGTCTTTTCGCGACTAAATAGGTTAGTCGCGATAATTATATGTTTAGCGACCAACAATTTAGTCGCCAAATAGAACGTTTTGCCGACTAAAAATCTTTTTAGTCGCTAATTACTTTCCGCGACCCTCAATTGCCGACCAAATTGGCGACCAAAAAAATTGGTCAGGAATATGTTTTGCCGACCAAAAATGGACTTTTAGCGACCAATTTTTTTGGTCGGCAAATGTGTTAATTCTTGTAGTGTAGGAAATTGTAATTAGTTATGATTAATTAACTTATGTTCTAATTAGGATTAATCAAGACTAAGTGATGTTTAATTAAACTAAGGTGTGATTAGTGTGCTAAACTAATGAAACATGGGTTCATATTACATGGACAAGTGTCCCCTAATGAAAAAATAAAATAAAATAATAAGAGATGGCAATTGAAATCAAAATGGTGCCTTTCACTCTGCTGGAAGCAGAGTTAGAAAAGAGAAAGGAAGAGAGAGCTCGGCTGAGAGGGGGAAACCGGGAGGAAGGAGAGAAAAAAAAAAGGGGGGAAAAGAAGGAAGCCTTGTGGAATACCAAGATTCAAGCTTAAAATTGTGCAAAATTCATCTTCAAGTAAGAAATTTCATCCTCTTCTTAGTATTGTTTAAATAATCTAGACATAAATTGATTTAAGATGAATTTTGAGAGAATTAAAAATGAAGATTTGAGGATCAATTATATAAATTGATGAAAATTGGGTTTTGCATGTAAAAATAGTTAGCTTAAAGATTATGAGTTATGATTTTTTAAATTTGTTAAGTTTGAGTTTAATTTTGAGAATCATTCTTGAATTGTGTTATAAAAATTACATGCAACAATGATGTATTGAAGATTTAATCCATGCAATGGAATTATGTTCAAATTTATGGAAATCAACTTAGAAATTAAGTATTTTGGGTTTGATTTTGCATATGTTATATGAATTTGAGTCTTATTTTTTACATGCATGTCATTTGGTGAAATTAAAGAATTAATTCATGAACATGGTTAAGATTAATCAATATGGAAATAATTATAATTCTTCAATTGAGCTTGGGTTTGGAAACTTTGGTATGTATGAGAAGTAAATTTACATACATCATGAATTGAGAAAGTTATGAAATTAGTCTCATGGATTTTGAAGAAATTGAACCATTTAAGTTCACATTTTGAAGAGAAAAAGGAAATGTTTTATAAACATCAAGTTTATGGAAATTTAGAATTAATCCTAACGTTGGATAAAGTTTTTGATTTTATAATTAGATTCGTTTAATCCCTGCAAGTAATGTAATTTAAGATTTTATTATTTAAATTAATCATATTTTGGAACACTTATGATTATGAATTAAATTGAGGTTATAAATTAAGTTAAGTTTAAGATTATGAAAATTAGTTGGAAAATTTATAAGAATATAAAATTAGTAATTTTGATGTCAATTTCATACATGTGAATAATTTTCTAGGGAATTTATGACTTTAATTTCATGCTTTGAAGGAAAATAGAAAGAGCTTGAAGTCAATTTTATGTAACTAAAAAGAAAATGAGAGATTGGAGCCATGTTCAATTTATGGAGATTAATTTAGAGGTTAATCACTTTGGGTTTGGAATTTGGCTTGATATGGAGAAAATGAATTAAAACTAAATTTGGCAATTGGAGCATGATTTTGAATAAATGATTTTTAATTGAGAGTGTTTAACTAAATTATACAATGGTTCTCCATGTTTGTATACTAAAGTACATGTTTTGAGGTTTTGAATACCAAATTTGAACTTCAATTGCAATTTTGGAATTTCAGAATTTACATTGTCCGCTCAAGCGAGGAAAGTCTCGCTTGAGCGTGCAAATCGAGCTCCCAGTAGTTTTTCAAATTTTGCAGTCTGCTTGAGCGGCCAAAGAGGTGCTCGAGCGGAGACCCATTTTCAGCATATTTTGGAAAGTTGCATTTAGTTCACATTTTTATTCTCATTTCTTTCTAAAGCATTCTAGATGTGATTTATGACTCAATAAAGATTAATGAGCTACCAATCAACGTAGATTAGTTAGTTAAAAAATGAATCATTGATCTAGTGGTAATTGTTTAGGAAGCCAAGTAAAGGATTAATCTATTTGGAAAGAAAGGACTTAATAATGAAAGAATATGTGAAATAAGAACCCGGTTTATTTAAATGAGAAAGAATAAGTGCAGTAGAACTTCGGACTATTTAGACGGAAAAAGACAAGAAAAGTCAAGTTTGATCAAGGAAGTAATATTGTATTTCAATGTGTATATGTTATGTGCTTGTGTAGGTCACGCGTTATTGCCTGCCTGATTGTGATCTGTCTGATCTGCTTCTGCAACTATCTGTGAGTAATAACTTTGTAAAATTATGTTCAATGTTAAATATTTTCTGAACTTTATGACATAAAATGATTAGTCTTCTGAAATGCTACGCTATGTTTTGAATGAATGAATGATTGTCCAAGATTCTGAAAGTTATGCGTGGCATCCTTAGTTTCATATGATATGGTCCCTTCATGGGTCATCAGGTCCCTTTATGGGTCATCAGGTCCCTTCATTGGTCATCAGGTCCCTTTATGGGTCATCAGAAACGTCTCTGTACACGTGAGTCATCGGAATGCCTTTAAGGCCGTCCCTTTATGGGTCATCGAATTTGTTAACGCTAATGGATCTACCACGTATGATTATATGCGAAATCTGAATATGGAAATGATTATGAGTATGTATATGAATTTGTTTCTGATTTGGAATACGAATATGTGTAAGACTCTATTTCTGATAAGAATTTGATTTCTAACTCTGTGATGGACATCATTCATTAAATCCTTTACTCTGTTATTATTCACTGGGCCCCAGCTCATTGTTTATATATATGTATGTAGGTGATCAGGAGCATGACCAAGCTTAGAGGCGTCTGCCTGGAATCAGTTCTTGACAGCCAACCTATGTGCCTCCCGTGGAGGTTCCAGTCATGACTAGTGGTTATGGCTAAGTGCATAAGTTGAAGTTTTATTTTCTTGTCCAGCTAGACAAGTCCTTGTGTATTGTGTGAATAAGGCTAAGTCCCTTTTGTCTAGCTTATATATGTATATATATGATGATGTGTATATAAGTATATAAAAATGTTAAAATTTTTCTGTCTCACATAAGTCTGCACAGCTCAATGGACGATGTATATTTGTTATTGGCGTCC